TACACCTATGGATGAGGACAGTGAGGGGGGTTAAGGACAGAGGGTGGGGTGGGAACCAGGTGGAGGGGAGCTATGAGGGGAAAAAAGAGGAACAACTGTAATAATCTGAACAATAAAGATTTAATTAAAAAAAAAAAGAATCTGACTTTGTCCCAATTTCCTCTAAATCACAGTACCATCCAGCTATATTTTGGCTAATCCTTGCCCCTGATGCCCTACCAGATGTTATGCAGCACCAAGTGCAACCCCATCTGTCCCAGACTCTTCTACCTTTCTCAGCTGCCAAAATGTCTTGCTCTTGTCCACCTCATCCCCAAAGAGCCTATAAGTTCAGAGGATCCAGCCTTTTCATGGATTCACTCTGTTGCTCAGTACTACTACTTCCATAGTTTAAATAAATCATAGAAGATTTTTGCCTTCTAACAAAGAAGGAATCTTTATATTTATACACTAGAGGCCCGGTGCACGAATTCATGCACGGGTGGGGTCCAGCTGGCCTGCCCTGGAGCCAATCGGCCAGGCCAGCTGGGTCTGGCGGTGGGGCAGGGATAGAGGGCCGTTGGCGGGCCAGCCCTGTCCCCTGAACTCCCAGTCGAGGGGACAATTTGAATATTACCCTTTTATTATCTAGGAAAGATGATACAGAAATTGAACTATTTCTACCATGCAGAATTTAGCATTTAACAGGATTTTAAAGTGATTAAATTGCCATTCTAACTTGGATCTGTATTAGGTAGTAAGTACTGGTATTAGTCCAAGTTATTGGAATGTGAAGTGAAAGTTCCCCAGGAGTCCAGACGGATCTGTAACCCTTCAGTGGAACAGGGGGTTTCTGGCATACAAACAGGCGGTTTCAGGTGATTTATGTGGTGGCACCTGGGACTTGAGACACGTCTAATAGAAGGATGTATGATACACGATGGTTACGTGGTCCTATTGGATCACAGACGCCCACTGGATCATAAGGTTTAAAATACCACAAAATTGGCTGCGTGACAGTTTGATGGAGCTTTCCTGGGTTAGACTAAGCTTCTCACCCCCAGGCCTACCCTGTTCTCCTGGGGGGAAACGTCCCATGGGATGGAGAGGGAATGTATCGACTTTGTCGTCTGTACTTCCTGGCTGCACTTAGGTACATCCAGACAGTATCTGTGAGGAGCAGGAAATGCAGAGCAAGGCGCAGCAGTTCTTCCTCTCCCGCCAGGGTGTACTCGGTGTCACCAGAGGAAAACTTGTCAGGGTTCTAACATGGGGCGGGTTTGTCTATAGGTGGATGTCTGACCTGGGGACGAACGAACCACCTATTTGACAGTATCGATTATGATCAGTGGTGGTATCTGGATGCTTTCCACTCCCATTCATGAGCAACCCAACCTGAAAGCAGTCTAGTAATTGCCTTTAAGGACCCAGGAATGAATCAATGCCTCGCTAAGGAATGAGACAATAATGGAGACTGAAGCAATGGTTTTTATTAAATCACACGTCATGAAGTACAGAATTGAAAAAGGAGATAAGAGGTGGGGGGAAGGAAGAATATCTGATTCTTTGCAGTGCTTGTGGAAATTTCTGGAATAATGAAATGCATACTATAAAATAGCATTTAGAACAAACACCCCATTTTATAGGTCATAGGACAGTACCAAACATTAGTAAGTTTAAATGTAACAAATATGATTTTTGGTATATAAATTTGCAAAAACAGTCTCTTTTCTTCTACCCCTCAAATTAACCTCTTAGAAGCAAATGTACGAGCCCTGGTTAACTAGATGTATGCATCATGACACTGAATGAAATGGATTGTACATCTTTCTTAATCAGTCTGCACAAATTTCCAACTGGCTTCTAAATCTTGTAACGAAGGATCAAAATGTAGGCTAAAGGAAACACATCAACTAGGTAGCAAGTGCCTTCCTTTGTAACGTGGAGGTTGTTTTCTACTGTCTGAATTTTGCTGCTTCTCTAAAATAAAATGTGCCCTGGCCAGTTTGGCTCAGTGGATAGAGCGTCGGCCTGCTGACTGAAGGATCCTGGGTTTGATTCTGGCCAAGGGTACATGCCTGGGTTGCAGGTTCAATCCCCAGTAAGGGGCATGCAGGAGGCAGCCGATCAATGATGCTCTCTCATCATTGATGTTTCTATCTCTCTCTATTCCTTCCTCCCGGAAATCAATTAAAAAATATAAAATAAAATAAAATAAAATGTAAGAGGTAAATGGTACCCTTGTGCCTCAAGGAAAGTTATGGGAACTCTAAGGCAGATATTTCCTTTGCATTCACGTATCTTCCTGGAAAGAAAATACAATTTTTCCCTTCCTCTTTCCATTCACATTTACTCTTTCCAACCTAAGATAGGACAGACAGAAAAAGCAACCACAGCCAGTGTGGCATCTTTGTGCTACTAGAAGAGTGACATCACAGGCACAGTCTGAGCAAGGTCAGAAAGGACCCTGTCAGGTCAATGTGGAACATGGCCTTGCTACTTGGATTAGCTCCTTCCAACCTGGAAATATGTCCTCTGGTCATTAAAGAACTGGATGTATCCTTTAGCTTATGAAATAGGATTTGAACTTGAAATCTTAATTTTTAAGTCCTAATTTTGCAGGGTAGCTAGATGATGAATATATATATTAAGACTTTGTAGCTGGATTGCACATGAGATCAGATTGCCAACTTCTTGACTTTCAAATTTAGACTTCATTTTATCCTTAAGTGCTGAGCAATATATATAGCATGCTGTGAAATGTCTATTATAGTTCTTTAATTCATCAGTATTAATACAGAATTATCTTTTGCGTTCCTTGGTACTTTTTATTCAATGTAATCAGAAGCTGTGATGTTTTGCCTTTGTAGTCCTTTGCTTTGTTACTGTAATGTGTGGTGTGTTTTTTTACGAAGCACGTGACTTTGGACTAATGTGAGGCGGATGATCTTAAGACTGCTATATATATATATATCACTCTCTTACTTTATAGGGTTTTCCATTAGAATAAGCTTTTATCAAATAGATCATTGATGCAGTTTAGGATTTACACAATTTGCATTGTCAAATGGCTCTTATATTTATAGTTCAATTCCAAAAATAGCAAACTTGATAAACAGCCACTTTAAACTTGTTCTGGCGAACCAGACCCTGCTGTAGCTGTAGTCTGAGGTAGTTACCCATATGAGCCTTCTCCACTGTTATGGCCTCCACATGAGTCAGTATTTAAGGAGATTATAGAACCTATGAAAGCTTTCTGTATGTACAACTAGGTTTTGTTTTTCTTATGCTGCTGATTTTACAACTCTGACTAAAGCTGACCGGAATGGATCAGTGTATGTGTAATATTCTAGTGCTTTAATGCCTTTTTTTATGGAGGGGTGGGTAATGTTATTTGAACAGATGCAGAAGGAACTGTTAGTGAGTCAAGACAAACACATTTGAAATAAAGGAACTGTGTATTAACATGTTAACAATTCATAGCTGCACTTTTTATGACATTTTGAAAATTTATAGGCACAGAATAGGTTTTGTTAAACATTTTACTTGCAAAAATTTATTTCATTGTTATTAGTAGGAATTTTATTGGTTTAATAAAATTGGCAAAACTGTAAAAATAAAAGAAATGCAGGTCTTTACAAAGCATATGCCTGAACCTTGATGGGGTCACTGACTGCTGTCTGAGCTTTCAGCCCTGCAGGGCATCAGGTATCTGAGGGTCATAAGGCTCTGGAAAGTTCAATCGCATCTTCAAGACTCTCTCAAAATTAAATGTATTCCTGTAACAGACCAGCCAAGATGAGTTACTGGTGCCCCATGAGCAGCAGTGGTAGGGCTGGCTGTGGTGTTTAAAGACACTGTGTTAGGAAAATGGCCGTCCAGTAAGCGAATGCACATTGATTGCCCTGTTATTATGAATGATAGAGAGTTGTTTATATCCCTGGGGGAAGCCATGGAGTGGACTTGTCTGTGGTAGACCACTGGCTAGCACTCCCCCAAATGCCCCATAAAGAGAGAAACTCCAGGCATCATTGCCTGGGGTAGAGGAGTCTTTAACAAAATTAAGGCATGGAGCTTGCCCAGTGGACTAAGGGGGCCCGACCGGCAGGGTGACAGATGATGCCCTCGTATGGGTCTGAGTTGTTTTTGGGTGATGACACCTTTAATCTTAGTACAGGCAGTGAGGTTGCCCACGGTCTGAGTCCCTCTGACCTTGTGGCCGTCTTCCCACTGAGGCTGGGGCTCCCTTCTTTATCTCAGGTATAGCCTTTGCAAGGTTTATTTGCTGTTTCAGAAGACAAAGCAAAAGCAATCCTAAACTGAAGCCATTATTATAGCCTCTTCTCACACCAGAACCAGAGTCCGTTCTGGCCTCGCTTGGTGCCATGCTGGGACTGGAGGAAACATCAGAACAGCTGCTATGCTGACTCACTGAAGAGCAAGGTGGGGCTGCTCTGCTGAGTGGCTGAGATGCAGAGCCCTCATCCAGGCCAGACACTGTGGGGTAGTCTGCAAGCAGAAGCCTGTTCCTTATGGCCCGATGAGAACTGTCTTGAAAAAACCTCCTTCACCCTGGGCACTCAGCTCGGGACCCAGGCAGACAACTGAGGCGGCAGCCCACTGGTAGGGTGAACCTGGAGTGAACCTCTGTGTCCCTAAGAACGACTAAGATGGCTCTAAATCCTCCCATGCTTGTTACAGTTCAATTGTGTCCTTCCCACCCCCAACCCAAATCCACACCGAAGCACTAACCCTCAATACCTCAGAACGTGAACTCTTTTGGAGATGGGTTCTTTATAAAGGTAAGCAAGTTAAAATGAGCTCATTAGGGTGAGCCCTAACCTAAAAGGACTGGCGTGCTTATAAAAAGGAGAAATTTGAACACACATAGATACAGAGGGATGATGATGTGAAGATTTAGGGATAACACGGTCACCTACGAGCCAAGGAGAGTGACCTGGGACAGACCCTTTATTCATGGCCCTCAGAAAGAACCCACCCCACTGATACCTTGATTATGGACTTCTAGCCTCCAGAACTGTGACACAATAACTTTCTGTTGTTTAAGCCACCCGGTTCATGGTATTTTGTTATGGCAGTTCTAGCAACAAATAGATGATTAATTTTTAATTTTCTAGTAAGCCAGAACAGTATCCTCAAATTCAGTTTATTAATTTGTGATATAAACTGAAGCCTGAGCCTAATATGCCTGGTCTCCACCTTCCTGGGAATAGGATCACTCAGTAGAACAAATAATAGATAAAATATCCTGGTTAATGTGAAGAAATTTATAAAACTAGGTTGCTTTATTTATTAGTTTTAGACTTAGCCAGGAGGGTCTCACCTTCTTTTCAGCCACAGTGACCATGAAAATATTTCTTAATGCCCAGTTGGTGTGGCTCAGTGGTTGAGTGTCTACCTCTGAAACAGGAGGTTGCAGTTTGATTCCTGGTCAGAGTACATGCCCATGTTGTGGGCTTGATCCCCAGTAGTGGGCTTGCAGGAGGCAGCCAAACAATGATTCTCTCATCGTTGATGTTTCTATCTCTCAGTTCCTCTCTGAAATCAATAAAAATATATTTTAAAAAATATTCCTTAGAATAAGAAAGCTTGGGCTCTAGTCCTGGCTTTGCAGTGAACTTGGTAGATCATGTAACTTTTCTTTAATTATCATTATAAAGAAAGAATATACCCTTATAGCATTAACATTACAGAAAGGTTCATAGAGAGTTAGAGGTATTACGGGATGTCTCTCCATTCTAAATAACTTTACAGTATATTCTGCATAAGCCCTGGGAATGACTGGATTAAATTCAAAACCCAACCCTCAAAACTTTTGTCTAAAAGTTTTTTCCAGAAACTGTGAATATGATCTTATTTGGAAATAGGTTTTTTGCAGCTGTAATCAAGTTAAGATGAGGTCATACTGGATTAGGGTGGGCTATATGCCAAAGACTGGTGTCCTTAAGAGATAAATTTGGACAAAGACAGAGACACACAGGGAAAATGCCATCTGATGATGGTGGCAGACACTGGAGTGATGTGTTGACAAACTAAGGATTGCCAAGGATTGGTGGTAACCATCAGATGCTGGAAAGAGGCAAGGACTGGTCCTCCCCTAAAGTTTTCACAGGAAGAATGGCTCTGCCCATGGCTTGATTTCTAGCCTCGAGAACTGTGAGAGAAAACATTTGTGGGTTTTTTTATTGTCTCAAGTTTTACATATGTCTCCTTTTCCCCCCAATTGCCCCCCCCCTACATTTCTGGATTTAAAAAATATTTTTTTTATTGATTTCAGAGAGGAAGGGAGGGGAGAATCATTGATCGGCTGCCTTCTGCATGCCCCACAATGGGAATCGAGCCTGAAACCCCAGCATGTGCCCTGACTGGGAACTGAATTGTGACCTCCTGGTTCATAGGTTGATGATCAACTACTGAGCCACGCTGGTATGGCCATTCCTATTGTTTTGAGCCACCCATTTTGTGGTATTTTGTTATTTAGGAAACTAATGCACATCTCCTTCTCCCACATCAGGATGGGAGATACACTGGACGCTCTCTACATTCTGATCAAACAGGAATTCAGAAAGTATCCCTTTCAAAGGATATTTTTAAAGTACAGACCGATATCTTATTTTGACTATTATATTATACAGTACATATTAAGAAATTTAAACTTTAGTTGTGTAATTGTTTATCCTTTTCCCCCCTCATATCCCACTGCTAGTCTCAGGAAATTTATGGGTCCCAATTTCAAACTACAATTAAAATCTGAACATTTCTCTTCATTTCACTGCTAACATCCTGGTCCAAGCCACTATCATCTCTCACAGCCTCCTATTTTCCCTTTTCCCAATCTTGCTCACCTAGTTTACTGGTAAAAGAACCGATTTGATAAAATCTAGCATTCATTTATGATAAAACTCTCAGCAAAGTGGGAATACAGGGAATATACCTTAACATAATAAAGGCCATATATGACAAATCACAGTTAACATCATACAAAATGGGGAAGAGCTAAAAGCGTTTTCCTTAAGATCAGGAACAAGACAAGGATGTCTACTTTGACCCCTTATACCCAACATAGTACTGGAAGTCCTAGCCATAGCAATCAGACAAGAAAAGAAATAATAATCCAAATTTGAGAGGAAGAAACAAAATTGTAATTATTTGCAGATGACATAGTAATATACATGTTTGGAGAGAGAACCCTAAAGATTCCACCAAAAGCTATTAGAACTAATAAATGAATTGAGAAAGGTAGCAGGATGCAAAATTAATATTCAGGAATCAAATGCATTTTTATATACTGATAGTAAACTATAAGAAAGGAAAACTAAGAAAACAATCCCATTTACAATTGTATCAAATAAAATATCTAGGAATTAATTTAACCAAGGTCTTTTATCTAAAAGACCTGTACTATGAAAATTATAAGACACTGAAGAAAGAAATGTAAGAAGATACAAAAAATGGAAGGATATACTGTACTCATGGGTAGGAAGAATTAATACAGTTAAAGTTTCCATACTACCCAAAGCAATCTACAAATTCAATGAAATTCCTATCAAAATACCAATGGCGAAAATGGTGGCATAAGTAAATGCAGTACTCACGTCCTTCCACAATAACATCAAAATTACAACAAAACTATAGAACAACCAACATTCAGAACCACCTGAATTCTGGCTGAACAGAAGTCCTACAACTAAGGGTATAAAGAAGCCACATCAAGACTAGAGGAGAGGCAGAGATGTGGAACAGGATGGTCCCACACCCACATGTGGCAGATAAAAACCGGGAGGGATAGCTTGGCTGTGGAGGTCCCCCCGAGGGATCTCAGCCTCACACCAGCCCCCCCAGCACAGGGTTCCAATGCCAGGAGAAGTCCCCATAACTTCTGGCTGAAAAAACCAGCAGGGATTATGGATGAGTGAGATGGAAGGCTGCTGGAGTTCCAGGTGTTCCTCTTAAAGGGCCCATGCACAGACTTACTCAGACTCACTTAGCTCTGAGCTTCAGCACTAGGGCAGCAGCTTGAAAGTCATCAGGTGTAGAGAGCGCTACAGCATTTGGACAGGATCAAGCCTCGGACTGACAAGAGGGCACAGTACTCTTGTGGCAAAGCCACATACAAGTCCCAGCTTGAAGGGCAAAGCCCTCCCAGCACAATTATAGCCAAAGGCTATGGTTATATGTAAGCTTGACCTTATAGTCTAACCTTGTAGTCCTAGGTAGTTAAGGGATATGGGCTGTGGGAAGTACAGCAAGTGCTGCCAAAACAAAGCTTGACAGAGTTCAGAGAATTACAATAACAGGAAAGAAGCAGATTTGAAACTTGCAAGAACACTGTAAATATCTTGACCACTCCCTTGTTTTGCTCTGTGTGATCTGACTATAAAATAAAGATTCAGCTTACAGGTCGGTCACCTGTAGGGAGTCGCTATAGGGTTAAGCCTCGGATTGACCTGTGGCAGAGCCACAAACAAGTCCCAGCTTGGAGGGCACAGCCCTCTTAGCATAATTAAGCTTGACCTTATGACCTCCCTAGATCCTTCCTAGGTAGCTAATGGGCTGTGGGAGGTGCAGCAAGTGCTGCCAAAACAAGTGAAACTCACAAGAACATTGTAACTATGTTGACCACAACCTTGTTTGTCTCTGACTATAAAATAAAGCTTCAGCTTACAGGCCGGGTCTTTCTGTGTCCTCATCCAGGCATGGAAGATCTGCTGAGCCCCAGCTGTATTCTCTTTGTCTATCTTTTTTAAATCCTTCACCGCCCTCCCTCAGGTTTACCCTTGGCCGTGCTGGTGTGGCACAGTCACTGTGTCCTTATCCAGGTGCAGTGATCACCTGGTCCCAACTGTATTCTCTTGTCTGTTTTCTTTAATCCTTCACAGCCCCTCCTCAGGTTCACCATTGGCTGTGCTGGATGCGGTTCTATCAGGGACATAGGGAGAGGAACTGAAGTGTTTGGCATCAGGGTGAGAGCTGGAGGGGCAGCTTCCTTCCAGACAGAAGTGCTGGCAGAGGCCATTGTTCCTTTTCTGAGCCCTCCTCCCACAGACCTGTCAGGTGAGCTCCATCAACCGGGCTAACATGATTAGTCCTGCCCTGGTGATTCCCTGAAACTTCAGAAAAAGAGCTAAACAAAATGGAGACAACCAATTTACCAGATGCAGAGTTTAAGACACTGGTTATAAGGATGTTCAATGAACTTAGGGGAAGAGTAGGTAAATTTGGTGAGAACTTCAACTGCATAAAAAGGGCATGGAAACCATAAAGGAGAACCAGTCAGGAATGAAGAATAGAAGAAGTCTGCGTGAAGATGGAGGCACAGATTAGAATGATGCACCTGCAAGTAAAGAATTCAAAGGATTTCTGGCTACCCCCAGAAGCCAGGAAGAAACAGGACCTTCAGAAGGAGCATGGCCGGGCTGACACCTTGATTTTTAACTTCCAGCTCCAGAAATGTGAAAGAATAAGTTCTCTTGTGTTTTAGTCAACCAGTTTATAGTACCTTGTTACAAAAGGCCTAGGGAATGAATACAGTCTGCTTCCACAGACCCATTTTCAAATCACTCAACCAAAGTCTAAATCCTATAATATGTATTTTCTAACAACCTCTACTGTGATACCCCACAGCTCCCTATGTCATGTGTTTTCCCTCACTACACTAAATAATAAACCCAAATTGTTTAACTTTAAAAAAAGAAATGAAGAATACATGAGCTAAAATGAAGAATACATTGCAGGGAATCAACAGTAAAGTAGATGAAGCAAAGGATCAAGTAAGAGACTGGGAAGATAAGGAAGCAGAAAACAACCAATCAGAACAGCAAAAAAGAATAAAAAAAAATAAGGATAGAATAAAGAGCCTCTGGAATAACTTCAAGCATACCAACATTTGCATCATTGGGGTACCAGAAGAATTGGAGAGTGAGGAATTGAAAATCCATGTGGAAATAATGACACAAAACTTCCCTAACCTGGTGAAGGAAATAGACATACAAGTCCAGAAAGCAGATATTGTAGAAGACAGAAGAAACCCAAGCGACGCTTACAGAAATGGAGTTACACAGCTTTATTATGCTGACGGTCTCAGTGGAGTCACCTCCAAAATCTGAGCAAACCAATATGGTGGAAGCCCCTCTTGTATCCCCTTTTGGTGTCTTTGTCCCCCAGATATAGAATGGGACTTCCGGACCTTTCGCGGGCTTTGCAAAAACCCCATGTGCTAGAATGGGGGCAGTGAAACCACACCTATGGGCCTGGCCTAGCGTCAGCACTGATAACCCCCTCCAGGGGTTGTGTATTGTTCAGTTTATGGCCTCAGCTCTTGCAAGACCAGATTTTGGGAAAGGGGCAGTGACTTAATTATAAGCTATCAAGAATGTACATTAGGTTACTGGCACAAATTCAGATTACTAGCCCCTTCCACCCCCCGCAAATGTCTTATTTTCCCCATCACAGAGAGTCTCAAACAAGATAAATCCAAAGAGGTCTACACCAAGACACATTATATTTAAAATGCAAAAGGTTAAAGACAAAAAGAGAATCTTAAAAGCAGCAAAAGAAAAACAGTTAGTTACTTACAAGGGAGCTCCCATAGGACTGTCAACTGATTTCTCAACAGAAACTTTGAAGGCCAGAAGGGACTGGCAAAAAAATATTCAAAGTGATGAAAACCAAGGACCTACAATCAAGATTATTCTACCCAGGAAAGGTATAATTTAGAATTGAAGCACATATAAAGAACTTCTCAGACCAAAAAAAAAAAGCTAAAGGAGTTTACTACCACCAAACCAATATTACATGAAATGTTAGAGAGTCTTCTTTAAGAAGGAAAATAAGCAAAAATATGAATAATAAAATGGCAATAAGTATGTGTCTATCAACAGTTGAACCTAAAAAACAAAATAAATGAACAAGCATAACAGAAACGGATTCATAGATACAGAGAACCTTTTGATGGCTGCCAGATGGGAGGGGATTGAGGGGGATGAGTGAAAAAGGTTAATGTAATTGAAAAGTAAAAAAATTATACCACAAAAACCCTCAAAGAGCCACAGCAATCTTGCCAAAGAAAAGCAAAGTTGGAGATATCACACTACCTGATATCAAACTATACTACAAGGCCATAGTAATAAAAAAAGCATGGTACTGGCATAAAAGCACACATAAATTAATGGAACAGTATAGAGAGCGCATGCTTATATGGTCAATTAATCTATGACAGCCGAAACCGGTTTGGCTCAGTGGATAGAACGTCGGCCTGCGGACTGAAAGGTCCCAGGTTCGATTCCGGTCAAGGGCATGTACCTGGGTTGCGGGCACATCCCCAGTAGGAGATGTGCAGGAGGCAGCTGATCGATATTTCTCTCTCATCGATGTTTCTAACTCTCTATCTCTCTCCCTTCCTCTCTGTAAAAAATCAATAAAATATATTTAAAAAAATTAATCTATGACAAGGAAAGCAAGACTACACAGTGGGGTAAAGACAGTTTATTCAATAAATGGTGTTGGGGACAGATACATGCAAAAAATGAAACTAGACCATCTTCTTATACCATATACAAAAATAAAATACAAATGAATTAAAGACTTAAATAAGAGACTGAAACCATAAACCTCCTAGAAGAAAACATGAGTAGACTCTCTGACATCGCTCTTACTCGTATAAAAAAAATCAAATCTCCCTGGACAAGAGAAATAGAAGAAAAAAATAAATGTGCCATGTCAACTAAAAGTTTTTTGCACAGCAAAGGAAACCATCAACAAAACAAAAAGACAACCTACCAACCAGAAGATGATATTAGTCAATGATAATCCACTTAGGGGTTAATATGCAAAATTTATAAAGAACTCTTTCAATTTAACACCAAAAAAGCAAACAATTCAATTAAAAAATAGGCAGAGAACCTGAATAGACACTTGTCCAAAGAGGAGGTACAGATGGTCAAAAGACATATGAAAAGATGGTTAACGTCACTAATCATCAGGGAAATGTAAATTAAAACCACAATGAGATACCACTTCACACCTGTCAAAATGGTTAGCATCAATAAATCAACAAAGTGCTGGCAAGGATGTGGAGAAAGTGAACCCTCATGCACTGTTGGTGGGAATGCAAATTGCTGCAGTCACTATGGAAAACAGTATGGAGATTCCTCAAAAAAATTAAAAATAAAACTACCTATGACCCAGCAATTTCACTTCTGGGTATTCATCTGAAGAAATTCAAAACACTAACTTGAAAAGATGTATTCACCCCTATGTTCACTGCAGCCCTATTTACAATAGCCAGGCTATGGAAGCAGCCCAAATGCCTATCAATGAACAACTGGATAAAGGTGTGTACATATATACAAAGAAATGTTACATGGCCATAAAAACTGAAATCTTACACTTTGCAGCAACGTGGAAGGATCTAGAGGATATTTTGCTGAGTGAAATAAGCCAGTCAGAGAAAGACAAATGTCATATGATTTCACTTAGATGTGGAATCTAAAAAACAAAATACAGTGCAACTTTGGTTCTCAAACTTAATTTGTTCTGGAAGGCTGTTTGAGAAGTGATTTGTTTGAAAAACTGAATTATCTCCCCCCCCTTATAAATTATGTAAATTAATTCTTTCCAGACCCACCCCCGCAAACGATTCCGTATTGTTTAGTCTATAAACAAACACTTCTTAAATTTATGGAACCACCCCCTACTATCCTTAAATGAATCACTTTCAGCACTCAGGGGTGTTTGTTTTTCAGGAGTTCAGTATATGGCATCTTCAATTGTTCACATATTGTTGCCTCCGAAATGCTGCCTGCCAACTGCATTTGGTTTATCCCAATCAACAACAGTCTTTCTACCTCTTCAATTGCCTGTGACCATTTTTTCACACCTTTAGCAACATTAGCACTCTTGATGGCCTCTTTGTTTTAAAATTGTGCTAATTATCCATTTTGCCAGCAACAAAAGCAAAAAACCCACAAGAATATCCACAGCATGATTTCTTGAGATGTAGACAACTGATTTACATTATCTCCTCTGTTTATGGCCTGAGAGAGCTTTTTGTCATGTTGATGTATCAGCAGGAAAGGGCTGTCAGGTTGAGAACTGAAGATTTTATTCAACAACTGAGACATTATTTCCATGAACAACTTGGTTGAGAATTGAATTGTTTGAGATGAGAGATGTTCAAGAACTGAAGTTTAACTGTAAATTGAATCTGTTCCAGAACCACAAATGATTCCGTTTTAAACTTTCTTACATACGGTACACATCTAATGTACTATTTGTAAGCAAATACTTTAAAAAACAAAAAGGAAAGGAAGTGTAGAGTAAAAAATGAAAATTTAGGTACACACTAGAACTTACCTTGAATGCTGAGAGCTACTGATGACTGAATATGGAGGAGGGTGTTCTTGTTTGGAAGAGGAGTTCCCTTCCATAAACACGTCAGGGAGCTATTCTTCTGGGGTTCTTTCTCTTTCGTCTCTTTGCTCCACTAGAACTTGCTTCAGGCTCACTGGGCCTCTGTCTCACTAAAAACCTACCCAATGATTGTTTTTGCCTGCGTTTTAACATTTGCCTGAAGTGAAACACTGCATTGTCATTGAACAAGTTTATTGCTCGGTGTGCTACTTCTTTGTCAGGGTGATATTTCTCAATGAAACTTTGCATTTCTCCCCATTTCCCAAGCATTCCCTTGATAAGTGAAGTAGGAATATCCTCCCTTCCCTCCTCTGAAGAGTGCTCCTCAGCTGCTGGCTGTTGCTGCTCCTTCTGAAGGTCTTGGAGCTCCTCAGTGGTCAGCTCAGTGTTGTGGTCCTCCACCAACTCCTCCACATCATCATCATCCACCTCCAAGCCCATGGACTTGCCCAGAGACACAATGTCCTCCACAACAGACACAGGCTTGTCCTCACAGCCCTCACAGGCTCTGTCAGCAACAGACTCGGGCCACAGTTTCTTCCAGGCCGACTGCAGGGTCCTGGAACACACTCCCCCCCACGCTTCATCTATGAGCCTCAAGCAAGTGAGGATATTAAAATGTTCCTTCCAGAACTCCCGGAGGGTTAAATTAGTTTCAGAGGTCACCTCAAAACACCTCTGGAACAGTGCTTTGGTGTAGAGTTTCTTAAAGTTAGAAATGACCTGCTGGTCCATGGGCTGGATGAGCGGAGTTATGTTAGGTGGCAAGAACCTCACAGTGATGAAGCTGTGCTCCTCTATCAGCTCGGCCTCCAAGCCTGGAGGGTGGGCAGGAGCCTTGTCCATGACAAGAAGTGCCCTGAGTGGCAACTGTTTTTCCCAGAGGTATTTCTTCACACTTGGGGCAAACACTTCATGAATCCACTCAATAAAAAATTGCCTGGTTACCCACGCTTTGCTGTTAGCCCTCCACATCACATTCCACTTGTTTTTCATGACATTATTTTTCCCGAAAACTTGTACGTTTTCAGAATGGTAGACGAGTAGAGGCTTCAATTTGAAGTCCCCACTCGCATTGCCACACAATAGTAACGTCAGCCGGTCCTTCACTGGCTTTTGTCCTGGCAATGACTTCTCCTCCTGTGTGATGTAGGTCCTCTTTGGCATTTTCTTCCAGAAGAGCCCTGTCTCATCACAATTGAACACTTGTTGGGGAACAAATCCCTCAGCCTCGATGAATTCTTGAAATTCTGTCACAAAATTATCAGCAGCTACTTTGTTAGTACTGTCAGACTCCCCATGTCTCACTACATGAATACCACTTCTTTTCTTAAATTTATCGAACCACCCCCTACTAGCCTTAAACGAACCATTTTGAGCACTCATTTCAGGGCTGTCTTTCAGGAGGTCAGTATGCAGCATCTTTGCTTTTTCACATATCATTGCCTCTGAAATGCTATCACCGGCTAACTGTTTCTCATTTATCCAAATCAACAACAATTTTTCTACCTCTTCAATGGCCTGTGATCGTTGTTTTGTGAGCACTGTCACACCCTTAGCAACATCAGCTTTCTTGATGGCCTCTTTATGTTTTAAAATTGTGCTAATTGTCGATTTTGCCATGCCATACTTGGTAGCCAGATCAGACACACGAACACCTTTATCATAATTTGCAATTATTTCTTTTTTAAGCTCTATCGTTGTTCTCACAACTTTCCTTTTCACTTTGGTATCACTAACTTTCTTAGGACCCATGATGACTTACTGTACGTATTTAATAATAAGCAGCAAAAAGGCAAAACACAAAAACATTCAGAGCACAATTTCCCGAGATGTTAACAGCATGAGGTTTAGCAGTAAACTGACTCATACTTGCTCATTCTCTCCTTTGTCACCTGAGAGATGCATGACTGATCATACAGGGATCAGCATGAAAGGGCTGTTGAGTTGAGAACTGAAGTTTTGTTCAACACCTGAGACATTTTTCCGTGAACAACTTGGTCGAACCCGAACTGTTTGAGATGGGAGACCTTGGAGAACCGAGGTTTGACTGTAAACAAACAAAGAAAACAGAAAGACTCACAGATAGAACAAACTGATGGTTGCCAGATGGGAGGAGGGTTGGAGGATGGGAAAAAGGGGAAGGGATTAAAAAGTACAAACTGGCCCTGACCGGTTTGGCTTGGTGGATAGAGTGTCGGCCTGGAGACTGAAGGGTCCCAGGTTCAATTCCGGTCAAGGGCACGTACCTTCGTTTTGGGCACATCCCCAGTAGGAGGTGTGCAGGAGGCAGCTAATTGATGTTTCCAACTCTCTATCCTTCTCCCTAAAAAATAAATAAAATATATTAAAATAAATAAAAAGTACAAACTGACAGTTACTGAATAGCCACAGGTATGTAAAGAACAGCACAGGGAATATACTCAGTAATATTGTAATAACTATATATGGTGCAAGGTGGGTATTAGACTTATTGGGTCACTTCATAAGTTATATAAACGTCTGACCACTAATTGTACCTGAAGCTAATATAATATTGAATGTTAACTGTAATTGGAAAAAACAGTGACCCTTTTTTTTATTTTATTGATTTCAGAGAGGGAGATAAGAAACATTAATGATTAGAGAATCACTGATTGGCTGCCTCCTACACCCTCCCTCCCCGCACTGGAGATCAAGCCCACAACCCGAGCATGTGCCCTTGATTGTAATCGAACCCAGGACCCTTCAGTCTGCAGGCTGACGCTCTATCCACTGAACCAACCCAGCCAGGGCAAAAGTGATCCTTTTAAACTATTAAGCCATCTTTCCTTGCTAAAACTTTCCAATGGCCTCTCAGCGAACAATTTCCTTATGATTGGCCACACTGACTACTCTACACCTTGCTCACTCTGTTTCACTCATACTGGCTTTCAGACTCTGGAATCCCTTGGGCAGGCTCCCACTTCAGAACCTTTGTCCTCCCTGTTCCCTCTGCTCAGGTCCTCCCCAGATATCTACACGGTAGATCCCTCACCTTCTTTTTTCAATGTCACTCTCATTTTGGGTTCCTTCAAAGCAAACCCAGAGACGAATAATTTGGTGCAGGTAGTTTACCTGGAAGATTATCCCAGAAATTATAGTGAGGGAGTGGTGAGTGAAACAGGGGAGGGAACTGTATAAAGGGCATGTGCAGCCCTGGCCAGTGGGTCAGTGTTTAGGCCATCAGCCCGCACACTGAAGGGTCACGGAACTGTATAAAGGGCATGTGCAGCCCTGGCCAGTGGTTAGGCCATCAGCCCACACACTGAAGGGTCATGGGTTTGATTGCTGGTAAAGAGCAGGTACCTGCGTTGCAGGTTCGATCCCGTCCCGGGTCGAGCTGTGTGTGGCAGGCAAGAGCAGGTACCTGCGTTGCAGGTTCGATCCCGTCCCGTGTCGGGTCGGGCTGTGTGTGGCAGGCGACCAATTGATGGTTCTCTCTTTGCCCCTCCCTCCCTCCTTCCCACTCTCTCTAAAAATAAATGGGAAAAATAAAAAATAAAATCCTCAGGTGAGGATTAACGCCACAAAAATAACTGAAAAAGAAAAAGGGCATACCTAAGCACCAGGGCTCAACCCTGTTAGTGACCCTGAAGGATTATGTAGAATATCCACCAACTTTCATCCCTCAGTCCGGGGTCGCTTGCATGGGCATTATTTCCTGGCATGGTTGGCCTACTCTGCAAGGCTCCCACTTCCAGACAACACCCCTGGGCAGACAGAAGCTCTTGTTATGTGAGCCAGCTGCACAAAGCAAGCTTCTTGGGGTTGTCTGCAGGGACACAGAAGCGGCCCCTTGTTTGTCCTGGTCACTTTCTCAGTGCTGCTCACCTAGATGGCTCTATTTAAAACCGGAAGCCACACCTCACAGCGGCCTGACCTTCCCGGTTTTTTTCCACTGCACACATCCCTTTACAACTTATCATACATTGTTTTTTTTGCTCATCTTCCCTCCAACTCTTTGTTCACTCATGTGTATCCCAATTCCTGAGCAATGCCGCCAGAGTAGGCCCTCTGAAAATATTGAATGAGTGCATCAAAAATCTGAGAGAAACCTGGCTTTTTGACATTTAGTGGGAAAACTAGATAACTTCTGTTAGCTTCCAGAGTTGTAAAACTATTGTGAAAGTATCTCCTTTTACAAATATGTATTGTGGGGACAATAACTCAGATTCCTTGATGTCCAGGATCCGTCTTTTCTAATATATTTTGCTGATTCTTACTACTTCCAAAGTATTATGATTCCTACATACACTTTATTACAATGCCCTATAATACCCTTTTCAAGGTGCCTTTCACATATATTCGCATTTGACAGTTGCAGTAACTGTGATGTAGACAATACTAGAATTATTCCCTTTGTTGAAAAGCTAAGTAATTTTCCAATTTCTTTTTGAATTCAGACGGATGGTTTTTCAATCCTTTTTCTCTCATGCTCTCCCCTTGACAATGATACTCATTTTTACCAGTTTTTAAAAGTGCTGAATGTACCTACCTATGACTTGGGGATTAAGTCTTGATTTCTATGGCATTTGGGAGGTCTCATTTTCTAGAAAAGTAGGTTTTCTTCTTTGTCCCGTTTAATTTTACTTAAAGTCTCAAAAGGGCTCAAATTTTGAATTACTAAACTGTTTAGAAACATTGAAGAAAGCTAACTTGTGTATAAGAGATTTCCTGTTATAGGAAATCCATTTTTTTTTGGCATATATTTATAAGAGATTTCCTGTTATAGGAAATCCATTTTTTTTTTTTTTGCATATATTGACAACTGTCACGTCATAATGAGCAAGCACGAAAAAGGACAGTTTTGGATGAAGAGGGCTGACCTCTAGTTAGGGAACTTTTTTTCTGCCAAAGGCCATTTGGATATTTGTAACATCACTTGTGGGCCATACGAATTATCATCTTAAAAATTAGCCTGCTGTATTTGGTCAAACATTTAATTAACTCACCCCTAATGCCTTGGCAGGGCCAGACCCCACCTGAGTTACAGGAACCTATACTGATGCAAACATAAACAGACCAACCATCCAGACTCATAAGTGAACCACGTTCCACACTGACTGGGACCCGATTCCCGGATTCTCCCACATGAGAGGAATCACTTAATGGCTGTCATGAAAACAAAACTCAGAGCTCCCCCACTGCTATTCCACTGTCGGCATGTGCAGTCATAATCATACTCAAAATAAACTTTGCCAAGAATCAGATTTAGTGTGTAAGGGCCAATGAGCTCAGAAATGAGACTGGTGGGTGCAGCCAAGGAAGGTCAGCTGGAGATGAAAAGGGCCCAGGTCTGCACGGGATGCACTTTAGGCTACATGTTTCTAATGTCTGCTACAGTTGGCTAAGTAGGCATTAGCACCAGAAATCAACTGTGAAAGACTAACTCAGAGCATTCTTGCACAGTTCAGTATTTCCATGTGAACAATTTTAAGTGGAGACGGAGTCAGGGACAAAGGCAAAACATGGCAGACTGCTGCATCTGTGGTCCCCAGGGAACCAGAATTCATGCCTTGGTGTTGAATCTGGGCTTGGCCATGTGACTTGCTTTGGTCAAGGGGACATTAATTAGCCAGCATGGTGAGAACAGAGGCTTGATAAGCACTTTGCACCTTGGAGCTTGTCTTCTTGGAAAAGTCTAAGCACCCTGCGATAGCCATGCTGTGCAGACATCAGCAAGGCCACGGAGAAGCAATGAGGTCCCACATATGTACAATGAAGCTTCTTGGATCTTCCAGACCAGGTACTGGCCACCAGCAAAATGCAGTGGAGTAACTCCAGGTGGTGCTATTTGGAAAAGAAGAACCACCCACTTTGTGAAATAAAAAACCCAAAACAAACAAACAAAAAAACAACAACCCCAAAAAACTAAAAAAGAAAAGAACCACCCAGCCCAGCCAGCCCTCTCACAGCCCAGCCCACGGAAACAGGGGAAATCATAAATCACTGTTGTTTTAAGTCACACATGATGGAGTGTTTGTTGTTTTTTTTTAAAGAAAAGAAAGCAAGAATTTGACTGCAGCAAAAATTACTTAGATAAGAAACAAGGAAGGGCACAAAAGAAGCAACAGGAGAGTGTAGGCTGGGCTGCTCTGGTTCACTGGGAAGTCAGAGAAAAGGGAGCCTTGGGGACAGGTTAAGGGCGTTAGCCAGGGCAAGCTGTCCACTGCTCCCATCGCATTTCATGAGGCCCGTAGTACAGTGAAGGCGAACCTTTTGAGCTCGGCGTCTCAGCATTTTGAAAAACCCTAACTTAACTCTGGTGCCATGTCACATATAGAAATTTTTTGATCTTTGCAACCATAGTAAAACAAAGATTTATATTTTTGATACTTATTTTATATATTTAAATGCCATTTAACAAAGAAAAATCAACCAAAAAAATTAGTTCGCGTGTCATAGGTTCGCCATCACTGCCTTAGGGGTTCAGGAATACCTGCCTGTGAGGGGAGGAGAGGGGGAAGGGAACGGCAGGGCATGCTCCCTGGAGGGAGAGCACCATGAAGTGTTTTAATGGAGTTGTTGACTTTAATGCAGCAGTAAGTGCGACACAGGATTTATAAGAGAAAGGGAAGAAAACTGCATTGTGGGGAGAGTAAATTTTGTTTGTATACTTTTGGGGCAGACTGATTAACTGGTACCTAGCACTGAGGTCAGGATGAAATTCTGTCCTTGGCAAGTTCTCTAGGGTACTGAAGAAAACTATTTTTGTTGTTTACTAATTCTCAAGACAATTTTGAGGGTTTACTTACAGAGCATACTTGTATAATGTTTGCAGTGTCCTTTTGATGATCACCTTTGACCTTGTTAGTTCTGGTTTGTACAATTTCCCTTATTGGAATGTTAAAGAAGAAAATGCAGAGATTGGGAAAGACCAACTCTGGAGTGGGCCGAGGTCTGAAGTCCCTCCCCCCACAGCTTTTCCCCTCATTTAAAAACAGCATCTGTGGCATCAGCAGTCTATCCAGCCCATCAGTCAACAAGTGAGGGTTACCTAAACCTGGAATGCCCTAAGAAGGCTCAGGCCCTCACAGGCAGCCCTAGGGCCCAAGTTCCACACGTGGCATTGCACTAAGAACCAGGTGCGAAGGGGCCCTGGAGCTAGGGGCCTAGGATATGCGAGCTGCTTAGTGGGGCCAAGTGGCCTATGGAAATAGGACCTCCCTGAAAGGCGGGAGTAGGAAGGCGATAAAGACAAAGGAGAGGTTACCTGGTGACAGAGAGATACAGAGGAAATGGAATTAAGAGCTGAAATACTTACGTTACTGACTCACCAAAGTGAAACAGAATTAAACTTTATTTATCGGGAAGACGGTGACTCTATCACTGGTGACGAGAGCTCTGGGGCTGCACTTTCTCCTCAGTAAGGTGGGTCGGGGTGGGGCGGGCTGTGCTTGGCAGGGGCTGCGGTGGTTTTGGATCTGGATCGATGAGCAGAGTTAGAGTTTTCTAAGACTGTGGCACCTGTCACACCGACCCAGAACTCACCTGTGTCCTATTCAGCTCTCCGTCCCCAATCCATCCCTATTCCCGTGGGATATCCCACATTTTTGTCTATTTCTTACCTGATTGGCTCCCTAGCTGGGCCTCAGGCAGGTCTCCCCAGAGAACATGTGCAGGATCATTGAGGAACCGTTGGCTGCGCTGGCATGTTAGGCAGGTCTGTACTGTCCAGCGCTGTCCCTTGCAGCCTGGGGTAAAAGTGTGAAAATGGAAGAGAGTGCCTGGGTTACAAGAAAAGGTCTCTTGCACCCAGGTTTGTCTCCATTGTTTTCTAGTAGGAATTCCACCTGCTCCCCACTTTCAATGAAGATTTGATAGTGTGAGTCCCCTGCATAAACTATCAATTTCTTTTTTAAAAAAAATCCTCACCCGACGATATTTTTTCCATTGATCTTTAGAGGGAGTGGGAGGGAGGGAGGAGGAGGAGGAAAGAGAGTCACTGACCAGTTGCCCCCAGCATGTGCCCTGACGGGGCCGGGGATCACACCTGCAGCCAAGGTATGTGCCCTTGACTGGGAATGGAAGCTGAGACCCTTCAGTCTACAGGCCAATGCTCCAATCACTGTCAAACTGCCCAGAGCTAAACTATCAATTTCTCGGTACTTTTTTTTTTAAGTCTTCACCAGAGGATATTTTTTCCCATTGATTTTTAGAGAGTGTGGAAGGGAGGGGGAGACAGAGAGAAACATCGATGTAAGAGAGACACCTCGACTGGATGCCTCCCATACGAGTCCTGATGGGGGCTGGGATAGAACCTGCAGCCCCCCAGCCCGAGGTCCGAGACTCTAACCACTGAGCAGAATGGGCTAGGGCCTCGGTATGCTTTAAGGTAAAGCCCAAACCCCTTTACAAGACAAGATCTGCCCTGTTTCCTTCTCCAGCCTCGTGTCTTGTGCACTTTAAACTTCAGCCTCCTAAACTCTTGCGTTTTATCCTCAGCCAAGGATATTTTTTCCACTGATTTTTAGAGAGTGGAAGGGGGGGGGCATTTATGTGAGAGAGATGCATCTATTGGCTGTATCCTGCACCCACCCCAACTGGGGCTGGAACCTGCAACCCAGGTACATGCCCTTGACCGGACCGAGAGGCTTTTGACGCTCTAACCGCTGAGCCACCAGCCAGCGCTCCTTTAGTTGACAGCACGTGCCCCACAAGCTCTCCTCAGTCAACACCCAGGCCGAGAACTCCCATCCCCTTCTGCCTCAGCACCACTGGCAGAGGTAACAGCACTGCACTCCTCCAGCGAAGGCATTTCCTCACAGCCGCAAGGATTTTTAAAATACGCAGTACCTGATCCGTCAGGGCGCTGACCTCTTCCCCTTATTGTCAAATCAGGCGGCTCAGGCACAAACGGCCGCGGGTCCGCTTCCGGGTCAGGGCACCGGCCTAGGTCCCGGGCACCTGGTCTGGGCGCGGGGGGCAAGGGAGGCAGCTTCCCTCCCCCTCCCTCTCCCTCTCCCGTCAGTCAACGCGTCCTCGGGCCTGCGGCGAATGAGCCAAAATTATTCCTACTTCTTTTTGTCAGCCGAAAATAGATTTGTTGGTGTGCTGCAGAATTTCAGTAATCAGTTTGTGTGTGCCATGAGATGAGAAGGGTTAAAAACCGCTGTCCTGCACTGTTCCCATTGCTCCTTTCTCAGCCGCCCCTTCCCCGGGAACAATGAACCCCGCGGGGCGCCCGGCGCACCGAGGAAGGCAAGTACCGGAGGGCGCGTCCCGCACAACG